TATATATATATAAAAGAGACCAAATGGTAAAAATAAAAATTTCTGGGCAAAATTGCTGTTTCAATATCCCGTTTAATTAGAAAAAATATAGCTTTCCAACGAATGAATATTTTACGATGCGGAGAACGCTGATTTCGTATTTTGCTTTATTTTTTTGCGCCGAACAAATATCACAGTATATCGAAATGAAACGAGCTTAATTGCGTTTTATTATAACTTTTCATGTGAAAGTTTGTGGCGATACGTCAAATTGCACGATTATAGGAAATAATAATTGCAGCTTGCATAGCAAAAATTTGGAGTACTGAACATATCACATAATAATCATAAAGTTTATCGAAATACATAATTATCGAAGTAAATCTTTCTTTCGCTGCAAAAACTTTCTTTTTCTGTTTTGTTTCGATAGTTGTAAACGCTGTATTCGACGAATAGAACTTGAGATACACTCGACGATATACCGTATAATTTATTTGCGTTGAATGGCCTTAGAATTATACTACACGAAGAAATCTAGTATATTAATTCTCGTTCTGATTATACCTGTAATACTCAAAGAGACATATGTGAGACCCCGTTTGTAAAAATTGGCAATATCATACACAACATGACACATCGATTTAACGCAAAATAGACGATGTGTAGATTTAAAAAAATTTAACATTGATAAAACAAGATATTTATATAAGTAAAAATTTGTAAAAATTTACTTTATTTAAGCAAGCATGAATCCTTCAATTGGAGTCTTGGAAATCGCACTGTCTGCTCGATCCACTTTGCCACGGTGAGTAGCCTCTGTTCGTTAAAGAGCGGTGCCATTAATTGCAACGATAAAGGTAGCCCTTTGCGAGAGAGCTTGATCGGTACGTTGATCGCGGGCAAACCGGCCATGTTCGCAGGTTGCGTACAATAATCTTGGATCAAGCACTGCGTCTGATTGTCCAGCTGCGTGAATTCGTTGTAACTTGGAGCCTCGGTTAACGTAGTTGGAGTTAGCAGAAGATCTATATTACCGTTCCACAAGGTGTCAAAGTCTTGCGCGATTAATCTACGCATCTTCATTGCCTTGACGTAATATTCCTTGTAATTCTCCGCCAATAGAAAATAATTTCCAACCAGTATACGACCTTTGACCACGTCGTTGAAGCCTTCCGACCTGGTCTTCTTATATAATTCATGAGCCGAGCTCCATTCATCGGCTCTGTGACCATATTCTATGCCATCGTAACAGGCCAAGTTGCTAGCTACATCGCATCGATTTAAAACGGAGTAACATGCTATGGAGTATTCGGTGTGAGGTAATGACACTGGGACAATATTGGCTCCTGCTTCTTCTAAATGACGAGAAACTTCGTCCCAACACGCTTGGACCTCCTCGCTTATGCTTTGCACTCTGTACTCCTTTGGTATCCCGATTCTGAGATTACTTATATCTATCGTTTTGGGTAAGTTAATCGGCACGTATTCCTTTTGTACAGTGGTGGGGTCTGCTGGATCAGGCCCAGCTATAGCATTCAAGATTAATACCGTGTCATCTATTACTCTTGTGAGAATGCCAGGCACATCCATCGAATTCAACAATGGGATAAGACCATAACGTGACACCAAACCATAGGTGGGTTTCAGACCAACTAGACCGCAATAAGAAGCGGGATTGCGAGTAGAACCGCCAGTGTCAGAGCCCAAGGCTGCGTAACAAGTACCTGTAGCTACCGCAACTGCGGAACCTCCGCTACTCCCACCTAAAATAAACATGTACTCGATAAAAATTATTACGCTAATGCTCTCCTTAATATAAACTATTAATAGAATAAAGTTACGTTAAATAACGACTAAACAGACAATATACCTGCTATGTACCATGCATCTTTCTCGCAGAGCTTCCACTCGTTAATCGATGAACCGTCCGACTCGTACGAATAAAATTGCGACTGCACTTCCGAGCCCCATAAATTCTTGGTCGGACCATAAAGGGAATCTACGGTGCCGGAACCCATGGCAAACTCGTCGAGGTTAGTCTTACCGATCAAGACGGCTCCCAGTTTCTTGAGCCTCTCATAGACCGTGGCATTATAACCGGGGGAAAAATTGGCCAACATCCGTGACGCGCAGGTCGTAGGTCTATCCTTGACGCAATAATTGTCCTTGACGGCGATAGGGATGCCGTCGAGCTGCCCCAGCAACGAATTCCGTCGTCGCCTCGCATCGGCATCGCTCGCCTGCTCGCATGCGACATCGCTCGTAACGGTGATGTAAGCGTTCAGAGGCTTGACGAGTGTGGTTAACTTGACGCAAGCCTCGCAGATATCAGACGATCTCACCGTGTCATCGTAAATCCTCCGACTAACCTCTCTGATCGGTGCAGACAGCAGCTTGTTCATCGCTCGTCCCGCGATATGTCACTGCCGTACATAACCTTTATAAAGCCACCGTCAAATGAGACATAACCTTCGATGTATCATGATTACAGATTGAAACATGATATAGATAATAAATTAATATTTTGCCAAATTAATAATTATTAAAGATCGTTTTCTTCTTTTATGTTGACATATCTTATATTACATTGTTTTCCTCTTTTTTTTTTTTCTTTAAAAGAAAGAATTTGGAGGAACGTAGATACAGGAAAAGCTCCACTTGATAATACTTGTGCTAATGAACAGCAAAACACGCACGATTCTTCAGCAACATTCCATTCCGGTGTATGAATGTTGTATGAATAAAAGCCACGAACCGTACGGAATCAATTTCGCGCATACATAAAGCCCGTATCAGACTATGAATTGAGATTGAAATTTGACCAATCAGGACAAGGAAATTTTAGTTCCTTTTATCCTGATTGGTCAAATTTCAATCTTCATTACGTAGTCTGATACGAGCTTAATAGCGCTAGCAGACGCTATTACGCCTCAGTCACGACGTCACGAGTATATATTTCATTGAAAGGATATCTTTAAATCCCTCGCTATTACGCACGCACTTTTGTCCCTCATCGTGCGTATTTTACTGCTTATTAGCACAAGGATTATCAGATTATCACAAATAAAGCTTTTCCTGCATTTTTGTCCCTTCTCAAATCTCTTTCCTTCCAGAAAAAAAGAAAAAGAAATAAATCTCAAACATAAAAATACAATTTTATATAGGTAAACAAAAAAAAAAGAGAAAGAGAGAGAGAGAGAGAGAGAGAAAAGGAACGATCTTAAATAATTATTAATTTGTCAGAATATTAACCTTACGTCTTGCTTCAATCTAATCGTAGTCTAATTGCGTTTTATTGTACCTTTTTATACAAATTTTGTGGCAATATGTCAAATTGTATAATTACAGAAAATAATAATTGCAGATTGCATGGCAAAAATTTAAAGCCAAATATATAATAATAACCATAAAATTTATCAAAAAACATAATTATTGAAATAAATTTTTCTTTCACTGCAAAAATAAGTTTACAAATGTAATGTAGTATCTATAACATATTAAATAAATTATTTTTCTAATTATATATTTCTCAATTATTTTTCTATATAAACGAACAGTGTATATAAGAAAAAGAGAAACACACATATATGTATGGGAAAACATTCTATATATAATTGTATATGTGATCATACATATGAACAATTTTTCTCTTGAAAATTTATCGCAATATGTGTTTATCCTCGGCACACACACACGTACACACGCAACAAGAATGTCCCGTGTGTATAAGAAATATTGGAGAGGACGTTACGATGTCGATCTTGTATTGTATATATATAAGTAGTGAAGAAATTATTCAGAGAGATTCCGAAAGGTTACTATTTATATTTACACTTAAACGCTGGCTGGATCTCTGATCACACGCAAATATTGGAGATAATGTTAATTGCGAAAAGTATAGATTTCAAGTGTTTCGACGTGATCGATTACGTGTTTAGATTAGCAATATGTCATATACGTTTGATACATCTGATCAAGGAAGAAACTTATCAAGGAATAAACGTACTACAATAAGTAATATATTGGCAAGTACGCCGATCAACGATGCACCCGCAAGGCGTTATACCACATCCTTATCTCGGATCGACACGAATTCTTCCTTAAGCGAAGGCAAGACTGAAGGCAGATTACAATCGCAAATAGCAAGTAAGGACTTATTATGCAGGCATAATTATATTTTCGTTAATTCTTCTTATTATGAACAAATTCAGTTATTCCATCATAAAAAAGATTAATGATTAAATCTGTAATTAATTATTAAACTTCATTTTTTAATGTTACTGTTATAATAACGAATTATACAGTTAGAAATATGATTTACATCTCCATCAAGATTAGAAAAAATAGGTTTCTTCATAAAAATATAATGTTCCCAAATATTACATTAAAATAAATTATATTGATATCTATAAGTCGCGCACACAGCTAATCTAATTCTGATGTGACAGAGAAAAGAACAAAAAAAAGAAAAAAAGTTGTGAAAAATAAGAGGAAACCACATAAGAAAAGGGTGATTCAATTGAATGACACTAAACAAGTAATAAGTACCGAATGGGACACCGA